AGGGAGAATCAGACATGAGATATTGATGGTATTGATGATTCGTGCCTAACCAACATATCGTTCTGTGGCTGAGAGTTCGAAATTGAACTACGTTGTTTTGCAGAAATGATGCATAGGTGATACTTGCCATTCTGCAAGAAGCAGCCATAAGCAATCAAATCAGATTTTTATATTTCACCCCTTTTCTCCATTCAACTATGACCTTCCATATGCACTCAGTACACACATACAGTACTTACAATTTTAAAACTAATACAAATATACGTGTCTAACAGTACACCCATCACTGAGCTACAGCTACCTCAGATGGGAAAAAAAATAAATCAATCAAAGGATAATAGAAACTCTCTCTCCCCCTTTTGGAAATGTTTCAGAGTAAGAGGGTAAACCGCACTGCTGCTTTAGACAAACACAGTACATACAAAATAACGGTTTTCAAATGAGCAAACATGCCAAACAAGCAAACAAAAAAGGATCAATATCTGTTACCAGGCTAAACCCAAGCCTTCCCCTTTCTAAGGTGATTAGACTCTGCTCGTTATTGAAATTAATATTCCTCATGTGCTACTTAATTGGCTAGTTTTCCAACTGATGAAGTTCTATATTAATATAATTGTTTCCTAATGAACAATGCATGTAACAGCTTCTAAAAATTTCCTGAGAGAGCCCAGAACAGGATCCGTGCAAAAGAAAGAGGCTGGGTTTTTTGTTTTACCAAGCCTAGAACCTTTCCTATTTCACCTGTCAGAACACATATTCAATCACTTATTTATTCTCTTGCAATACGGTGGGATGTTTCCCCTTACCTCTCATTAGCATCAGCTTACTGAAATAGAGGTACACACACTATTTCTCAGCACTGGAGTGTCCTGCAGTGAGACAAGGGCAGTGTGGGTTCCCCAGTGATCAACAGCTCTTTAAGGCAGGTTCCAAGGCTGGAGCTTCAGCATTGCAAAATGAGTGGATGGTTAGTCACTGAGATAAAAATGCATTGTTCTGCTAGTCTCATTTTTGCTGTATATAGCATCCTGGCCACAGAAAGCACTGCCTCTTGAGGAATTGTGTCATAAGATGAGATCAAAGGATGTCACAGCGTGCAATGTTGTGACATATCGCATACAACAGCAACGTTCTCAGTCAAAAAGAAAAAAATCATAAGGTAACAATCATGAGTACCCTCTATTCCAGTAACAGTATTAATACTGGACAGAGGATGAGCCATGGAAAGACAAATTCCCTGCATTGCAGCCATTTGAAAAAGGCACCATACCTAGATCAGTAAGCAAGGATGCAAAAAAAACCACAGTAGTAAAGCATAAAGATGAAAAAGAAAAGTTTGAATCTCATAAAGATAATATACTCTCTAATTAGCAGAAAACATGGGGGCTGTTTTAGACTGAATGTAGAGTGAAATTAATAATATGTTAAGTATTCCTGTTTCACTTCTACATAGACATAAATGGCTTTTAGGGTGTCTGTCCTCTGGAAATGAATCATAGATGTTGTCACCTAAAGTGTTTACTGGCTCTGCACACCGACACAGGCGCGTTTCACTTCTACATAGACATAAATGGCTTTTAGGGTGTCTGTCCTCTGGGAATGAATCATACATGTTGTCACCTAAAATGTTCACTACTGGCTCTGCACACTGACACACACGAAGCTTATACATGACCCCCTGCAACCTACACGAAAGTGATCCCAAGCATAACTATTGTTTCTTACAGCTGCACAATGGTAAATGGAAACTGCAGTTTTCCGCTGTGATTTTGCCAGACGTAGTTTACAGATATAAAATATACCAGAAGATTATCTCAAACCAGGGTACTGGTAGTTTTATCAGAATTACAGATGTTTACTGGCTCTGCACACCGACACAGGCGCAGCTTATACATGACCCCCTGCAACCTACACGAAAGGGATCCCAAGCATAACTATTGTTTCTTACAGCTGCACAATGGTAAATGGAAACTGCAGTTTTCCGCTGTGATTTTGGCAGACTTAGTTTACAGATATAAAATATACCAGAAGATTATCTCAAACCAGGGTACTGATAATTTTATCAGAATTACAGAAGATATTAATGGGTGGGCTAAAAAAAAACCCTCATTCAAGTATAACCCTTGAACTGTAAATATCCATTGTAAATGAATCTTCTATTTCCTTGAAACTATAGTGCCTTCACCATTATCAATATTTTAGATTGCCTCCTACTATTTATGCAAGATTTCTAACCATATTCCTCCATAGCTTGTATCCAACAGTGAGCTACCTTTCAGATGGGCACATTTTTGCAACATGCTTTTTAGGTTATTTTTACTATAGAACAGAATCAGTTATTTTCCATCTGTAGAGACTGGGCACCTCTGACACATGCAAGCTGGAGGTATGGCCATATTTGGCATTAATATGCTCATCAATCAAAGTTGATTTCAAATCTAGAGAAAAATTATCTTTACAGGATTCTTGGAGACAGTCACTCATAGACATACACGAATGCAAAATCCATTATAAAGCAACTATAGGGGGTGAAAGACAGAATGGCTCTGGCTTTGCCCACAACTAGACCATCATCAGGCTTTGCTACAATATCATTTACAGGAAAGCTTATTGCACCAAGTCAGAAAATCTCAGAAAGAATGTTTTGTCACCTACATCTGCCATCTTCTCCTTGACTGGGATCAAATATCTCAAATTTGACACTACAGTCAACCATCTTTAAGCCTTAAAAGATGATACTCATTTAGTTCCTGAAGCCTTTTTTAAAGGAAGTTCATCCTACCATGACATACAATGGCTTCTCTATGCTAAAAAGTGTTCAATTACAGACTGCACCTCCTCCCCTCTGTTAAGGTCTACTGTTAGGAGAATCTCAAGAGAGAACAATGGTATTTGCTACTTCATTTCCATGCCACGAAATCACTGACCCTGGTGTTCAGGGGAGAAGACTTTTATTAGTATTGCTTCTCCAGCCACCTGCCAGAAAAAGAATGATGTTTTTGTTCTACAGTAAATTTAAAGAGTTACCTCTGATTACCTGGAATGAATACCCTTTGAACTGGTACTATTTCCTATTTGTGTCATATATATTTTCATAAGTTGCCCACAGTAAAGACAGTATAACAAAATCACTTACTGACAATGCCAGAGTACTGTATACCAGTGTGAGGCAGGGGGAAGGAAGGAAGAGTTACTATGGAAAGTCTCATCGCTTTAAAAAAACGTTACATAGGTATTCTTTACCATAAGTATTTACAATTTTTGCAATCTAAAACTGGAATCACCTTCCTTCATAAAACTGTGCTTTGAGTATCTCTTCATATGCTTATCAAGGAAAGCTAGCCACCATACAAACATGATGGATGAAATAAATCCCATCAGACTTCATATAGAAGGGTTTTCATGGTGACACTGTAACTGTCGTGGTTTTGGCTGAATTTACCAAAACCAGCCTGACAGATGGCCTTCCCCCACCCCTCAAAAGAGAGGAGAGGAAGAGATAAGGAGATTTAGAAGTTCAGAATGAACTAAACTATTTTAACAAAGAATTAATATAAAATCAAAAAGAATAAAATAATGAAATAGGTACAATATATACAAAACCATATCAAGCTCCCAGGATGACAGTCACGTCTCCAGCAGACACCGGACTCAGCGATGGATGGGAATGGGGTTACAGCTCTGGAGTCAGGAACACACGGATCGGGATCAAAGGCAGATGAACAGACAGAGTCCTCTTTGGACATCAGTCATGGAAGAAAGAGAGTTGACCCTTTGATCCCTCAGCTTTTGTACTGAGCATGGGGCACATGGGATGAAATACCCCAGGTTTGGGTCACCGGTCCTGTCCGCTCCTCCCCACAGATGTGACCCCCTCTACGTTTTTCCATTTCCAACCCTCTAATAGGGCAAATAACGAGATTGGCTGACCTTGGTTGTTATAGCAATAAGTATAAGCAAGGGCCTCTCTGCATACCATTCCTTGGCATGTAGCACAAACATTGGTCTTATCACTGAGAACGAGCAGTTTTCTCCACAATATGCTGTTAATTTCAGAGAGTTAGAAGAGGCCTAGCTAAAATGTAAAATTACTGAACAGAAAATTGATTCTGTTTTACTTCAAACCAGGACAGTACCTTGAAAACTCACAGTAACTTTATCTTCAGAGTAGCCTCAGACTTAGCATCCTTGAGATGTACTTACTAATGTTTTTCTTGTAAGAATTTATTGATGTGACAGAAGCCTGCGGAATAGATCCTACACCTTAGTCTATTCTTAGCACACCAAAGACAGAGACAGAGTTTGGATAAGCAATCATCTTTTTCAGATCCCTTCTGTCACCCTCAAGAGCAAACAGATGGCTAACTACAATGAGTAGGATCTACCCACATAGAAGTTCAAAGGAAAACAAAGAACTACTCACTTTACAGTCACTGCTGCTCTTTGAGCTGTTCTGTGCACGAGGATGTCAGCTTGCCTTACACTTCCACCGGCAGAACACGGGACTGCTCTTACCTGAGCTCTAAATGGCAGCTGGGAACACACCGTTCTGCATGGCTTAGGATAAACTAAAGGCAGAGATTATACATGCCTCCCTGTGCCCTTTCACAAATGTAAAAATTACTCCAGGATTCTACACAAAAGGTACAGGAACACACACCCTGACCCACACCTGAGAGCTTGAAGACCAAGGTAGCTGTACTGCTTCCTAGTACATAACTGCCTTTTTCACAGTCCTGATGTGAGCTATTGACTTTACTTAATTCAGTTATATGCTATTCATATTTACGTAAGCCAAAACCCCCATATTTTTTGTGTACAATGTTCCTCTTTGTGCTTCAAAAACATTACAGAGGTACGTAGCAACAGATGGCAACTCAATCAATGAGAAAAGCAAAATACTTCAGAATAACATTTCATCAAAAGCAGCTTAGAAATGTACAGCTCCTCCAACCTGGGCAATATCCTAAAAGAAAAAGAGCAAGAAAGTTTTCCATTACCTTTGAAGTCCTTACATCCCAAGCTTTAACTTCTGGGCTGAACCCTCCACAAATGAAAATATTTGACTCTGTAGGGTGAAACTTCAGTGCGCTGATCCTAAATTCATTTTTGCTGCTAAATATCTGCTTCCCTAAAATAAAGTGAGAAGTGGAGGTTAAAATCTGAGCAGAAAATAAAATACACTGTCTGTTCCAACCTAGTTTCAAAAAAATCAATGTTGTCAAAGGTGAATATGTTTATATTAACACATTTCAAGTATCTGGGGATACTCTAATTTACTGAAACTACAAGATTGAACTCGCTAATTTCCATCTTTGTAAAATTGCTCCTGCTCATGGGCCTCAACACTACCGAATGCTTCCTACTGAGAGGAGAGAACAAGTGTTTTCCCACACTAAGAAGAGGAGCTCCACCAAGGTCCCAGTTCAGTCAACATGCAGGATTAAATCTACAAAACCAATGGCTAAATGTTTCCCTACAGAGTAGCCATAGTCTTTCCTTCAAAGGGATAAAAGTAACCAGAACAAAATATTATATGTCCAGAAATACCACATCTCAAACTATACTACAACTCTTGACTTGTTTTCTTATCTTTCTGTGAGGGTAGGAGTGAAACTTCTTCTTGAAAACAGGAAATAATTTGCATAGCATGGAGGCAATATGAAAGCAATAGCTGTTCCCATGGATACACCGTTCCCAACAGTTAATTGTGTAGACCAGTCTCCGCAGGATCCTGTGGTTAGTATCAATTGGATTGTCGACACTTTCAAAGGCAACAGAATTCAGCTAGGTTAATTTATAGGACTGTTTTTCACGGTCCGCTGCTTCCTTTCATGCTAACAAATTCATGATATTAATGTATATTCACTGAAATATCATTTTTGGAACAGCAGCATGGAATAAGAAAAATACATTTACTAGGTTTCACAATTTCAACTGTACGTTATATGCCATATATCACATATAAAGATCTACATTAAAGGTTTCACAATTTCAACTGTACGTTATATGCTATATATCACATATAAAGATCTACATTAAAGTTACTGCTTTACACCACAGTGAAGAAGGCACTGCAGAAGTCAAAAAGAACCCTTAAAATACTATGACAAAAGCTTCTTAAAATATTCATTAATCTACATTTTCGGCAAGTGAAAGTTGTCTTAAAATAGACTTTCTTAACTGAAAATACTTTGAGCTAAAAACATTAGTGATGGATGCAAATACTTACTGTGAGGCAAACAATTCAGAAAAACATTCGTATAGATTTTTTTTTTTATGCTTATTTTAAGATTTGGAGCAAATTTAATTAATTATGTCATCAGTTCCATTTTCCGCATCTGCTGAACTCAACTTATACAGCCAAGAAGCTAAGACTTGTCAAATTATTTATTTATTCATTTTAAAGAAAAGAAGAGAGCGATTTTACTTCATCATGTGCTCTTCAAGCTAGCAGGGTCAAGGAAAATGGATTGCAGGGAGCAAAGGGAGAGGTGAGTATTGTTCTATGTAAAAACAGGTTTTTGTAGGGGTCTTTTGTTCTTTTTTAATGGTTTCTCCACTCATTACCCATGCAAGATCTAAAGGGCCTTCCTGTCACTACTGTGTGAAAGATTTAACGTAGTCCATAATTTCCTTCTCCAGAGAAAAAATGTCACAGGAGCAGCAGAGGCCCTCTCTACAAGTTATATGCAACAGTGACCATCTCTCACCATGGGAGCTTTCAGTACCCCAACAGCTACAGAAGGGAAAAAAGACTCCACAGGGAAGGAAGAAAGTATTAAAATCATCACTTATAGGAGCAACAAGATATTGGTCTCATGTACACCACTACCAGGCATCATTTGCAGTCTTTAGAAAAGCATCCACAGCACTTGAGAAAAATACTTAATTTCCCCATGCAGCCTCACTAGTCAGTTTGTTCCCAAGGAATTTGGTACCTACTAGCAACCTAGTTTAATAAACACTCTGTGAGCAAGTCTTTAATGGTACTGCAGCCTGAAATTAGCAAAACTGCAGCCTACTTGTAGTATTCCTGACAAACAGGTTCACAAAGTATGCATCAAGGCATAGATCTTCATGGAGTGTATTGTCTAAATACCATTAAATATATACATAACTGATCCAGTGGAACTCATCATCTAACCTTCCAACAAACATTAATTGTTTAACCGACTTTACTGAGATCTGTTTTTACTTCCACAAGACTTCTGAAAACTGCTTCTTCTATAATGCCATTGTGCTCTCTACAAACGCTCTAGCCTAAGAGGTGGGAAAGCCAGGTAAGACACAATCAAAAAAGATGTGCACTAAATTCAAGACACAGTTAATCTACTAGCTACAAGACCTGTTACATTTTCCACAGAAAGAAGATTGATTTAATGTAATTTGTTATTACTTAGTCCATCTTTCAATCTCATCCCCAGCTACTTCCATGTAATTCAAGCATTTGCTCACTATTTTCTCCAGAAACTAAAATTCTCTAATTCCCTACTCCATCTCCTCCTATTTTAAGGAGTACTGCACTTGCCATTTTCTTGTCTTCTAGAGTCTGCAATTGATCCAAAACCTCTCCTAGTACTGAGATCATTACAGTGTAATTCTATGAATTCTACATTTCAGTGTAATACTAAATTGAATTAATGCAAACAACTTGAGCATCTCATTCACCCCTACACCCTTTAACCCCTTCCTTTTCCTATTTTAACCTGTTTGATGCAGATATTAACCACACTAGTTTTTTGACTGGTCGGAGGTGCAATCAGGAGATGTTAATCTTAAAATCTCAGGCTCTCCAATTAATACTTTGAAATACTCTCTCTCATTCTCTCACTCCCCCAGGTGAAACTGAATCAAATGTTTCTTTTTGGAAGCTCAGTAAACAGTGTTCTGAAGAATCTGCTGTTATTAGATGCATAGATGAATTTCATTCTACTCTCATGTCACAGAAAATAAGAAACAGGCTGGAATGGGGAAAAAAAAGAACATGGGAGTAAAGAAGCAGCAGACAACATATTCAAAAGAGGAGGATCCCAACAGTACAACAAGGAAACCCTCCTATTGCTAGAACTGAAATTTATGCACAATACACAGAATCTAAACCGGACTGCTCGCCATACAAAAATGCCTGAACCCAGCAAAATGCATTTTCTAATGCTTATATGTATACATCCCTTAAACTCTTCCCTTTTAGGTATTAGGACTGCAGGGCTGAAGTGCTGAGGCCCATTTTCTACGCAACTATGAAACCTCTATCACCAGACATCTTTCAGAACCTCAGAAACTTTGGAAAAATATCCACCTGAAAGATGAACATGTGATGTGGGGCAAAACAGCTCATGCAGTTCAGTACATTAAAACAATGAATTCAACTCTAAGCCCCTTTCCATACAAACTTTATCTAGTGTGTTTTACTACCATGAGCAGAATTTGCTGTTTCCCACGCTGTAACCTTGCTGTGACAGAATCTAGCCCCATGTTTGGGAAATCCAGTGTTTGCTGGAGATCCTGCTCCACCTTTCTGGCAGTCGGTATTTACAGTTATGTACATTTTTGGCTACAATTACTCAGTTTATTTAACATCAAACACATTCAATTTTTCAGGCCTTATTTTACATATTGCAAATGATGTCCTTTGAGCAGAAGACTCCTTTATCCATAATAGAATACAATGGGTGTAAATCAACAAGCTTGTGTGCACTTCTATTGTGTATATATTTATTGTATTTTAGTTCCTAAAGGCAGCATAACAAAGACTGAACCAAGTCATAGGCTGTAGAAAATTACATCTTCTGAAAATCTATTTGGCTAATTGAGGGAAAACCCATACCACATATCATTTTCCTGTATGAGAGGTTGCTATTCCAAAGCAGAAAGCAAATGTTTCTCTCAATCTTTAATATTCACAATTTCAGTAACAATATCCACTACATCTTTGCAGTGTGTTTTATATTCTGAGTGTGCTTTAATTCAATTCTTCATTCATTAAAGGCTCACCAGTAACATACACAGTATGAAAAAAATTCTTTAAAAACATCTTGAACATATGTTTCTGCTCCTTTATGCTGCAGCCTACTGTGAAACTGCTCAACTATGAAATCAGATATTTTAAAGGCTATTTAACATTGTGAATCTTTCAGAGAACACCAGCACAGTTATTGAGCACAGGATGCTTCTGTAACTGTGTTTAGTGGTCCTGAGGTTCACACCTCTACCTACATAATCCAAAAACATTCAATTCCTTACACTAATCTGTAAAGAAAAATGAAGTCTAAAACTTACAAGGACATGAGAATAATCTTGGTAAGCAGAACGGATTTCCCTTCCATATTTATATATAGATATAAGACAATATATACAGGGGGGTTGGAACTCGATGATCTTTGAGGTCCCTTCCAATCCTAACCATTCTATGATATATTAAAAAAAAATTTATTGCAGTGGCCTACATAATCCAAAAACATTCAATTCCTTACACTAATCTGTAAAGAAAAATGAAGCCTAAAACTTACAAGGACATGAGAGTAATCTTGGTAAGCAGAATGGTATTTCCCTTCCATATTTATAAAAAGATATAAGACAATATATACTCGATGATCTTTGAGGTCCCTTCCAACCCTAACCATTCTATGATATCTTAAAAAAAAATTTATTGCAGTGGCAATCTCTCTCACGCAGAATAGTGAGAAGAAAATTAGATTGATCAGACATAATTTCTTCTTAACAAACCAATGTTGGCCATTACTTGTCCACTGGCACGCAAAGGGGCTTGAAATGTTAAAATGTCCCCAAAATAAATATTTTTCTCTCTTCTTATTGCAAGGACTTCACATTAGTGGGTATAAAAAGTAAAATGCTGTTATCTCCTAGCTGGAGAGTGCCCACTAAACTATGTTCAACACATTACTTAAAACTGTTGAATTTTGCTCTTCTTATTGCAAGGACTTCATATTAGTGAGTATAAAAAGTAAAATGCTGTTATCTCCTAGCTGGAGAGTGGCCACTAAACTATGTTCAACATACTACTTAAAACTGTTGAATTTTATGGGGAATTTTGAGACCTCATATCAAAGATGCCTGTATATATTTAAAAGAAAAAAAAAAATAAAAATAGAAAAATCAATCAACTGTGTATTTTTCTGAGGTGTCACAAAAACCCTTACATGCATATTCAAACAACGTACTGTCTACATCGTACTGGGAGAGAAGGTGACGAATAGCAGAAGTCACAGCTCTCCTGAGGTGATATTTATGTCTGAGCACTAAAACTCCTGGGTGAACAAATGGAATTATGTTAACATAAATAATCTCATATCTCTAGGACTACCAGATTATAATATAAAAGAAAATATAGAAAAGCAAATTTGAAGCATCCTCTTGAAGGTACAAAATGTTCCATTAAGAAACTCTCAAAATACTGCAAAATAAAATAGGTTTACAAAGATTTGTGTGACCACAATATATATGTATATAACTGTCCTTCAAAACCAACAGCTTAATTTCAATATCCTAGTCATGATAATGCTAAAAGTTTAAAAATAATGGGGAATTTGAATTTGCCATTATGAATCTGAGGAAGTTATATTTGAAATCAAGTTCAATCCATGAACTTAAAATACAACTGCAGCATTTGGCAACACAGGAAATGTGCCAAAAATTCTTGGAAGACTCCCTCTATCATAATATTAAAGAAATGAAAAATATCTACAATATGCAAATAGTATCAACCGAGCCAATGTTCTGCCTATGCTATTGTACCAATTCATTTGTGACTAATGCAAAAACCACTGATGAATAAAACATATATTCCAAAAATAAAATAGTTATAAATAAATTTTAAAAATACAATTACCCTTCTAAAGTTGGTGGAGCATCTCTATCACATCTGGACATAACAAAAGTTAAATGTCAAATGTACTTGACCTAGAACCATTTTAAAAGCCATTTTTTTTCCAGTGCTCTCTGAATACACCACTACTTACTGGTCTGTAAATAACACAGCGGCTGAACTCACTCGTAAAAATGACTGCAAGTGTGGTGTTCGTAGAGATGAAAAAAATCAGGGAGTCTCACTTGTTCAAACTACTGCATTATTACATTTGTGAAACATTTCAAAAAGCTTTATTTTTACAAAGAAATAATGTATATAAAATAGAACAATCAAATAAAAAAATTACCCAGTAGTCGTTACAGGCAGCTCAGCTGCAATTTTTGGATCTATTAATATCTATGAAACCCCATGTTACAGTAATGGACTTGTCTCTTGCAAACTGTAGCCACAAAACCACTCACGTGAATGACGCATGAGTAACCTTGCGTTTCTTAAACATTTTATGAGTATTTTGGATCAGACATACTCTGAATGCGTACCACTGTTTTCAAGAAAAGTATATTTGTGGAAATCTTGACATCCTGGTGTTAGGAAAATGGAGGACCCTTTAATATAATAAGTGACAATCTATAAAAAATGAATTTAGAAAAAAGGCACTTGTACAAAAGTTACCTGTTTTCACCAGATGAGGACAAGTGAGCTCCTTGTACCTCAATCACTTGAATTCTTCTCTTTCCCTGTTCTTCATCATAGCATCAACAAACCATGTAGGGTGGACCTCCAGGGGTCATCTAGTCCAAACCCCTACTCAAAGTAGGTGCAGCTGCAACAGGTTACTTAGCTTGTCTGTCCACTGAAGTTCTGAGCATCTCCAAGTACAGAGACTCCACAGCCTCTCTGGACAACCTGTTTTGGTGTTTGAGCCACAAAATTTTCCCATGTTCCTACATTTTTCCTTTGCCTCTCATCCTTTCACTGTACATCTCTGAGAAGTGCCCATCATCATCTTCTAATCTGGCTAATCTGGCCTGGGATGAGGTTGACCTCTGCTGCAAGAGAACACTCCTGATTCATATTCTACAAAGGGACCCCAGGTATTTTTCTGCAAAGCTGCTTTCTAGCCAGTTTAGCACCAGCCTGTTCTGTTGTGTGGGATTACTTCATTCCAGATGCATGACTTTGCATTTGTGTTTTTTAAACTTCATGGGGCTCCTATCAGCCCATTTTTCCTGTTTGCAGCATTTTAGGTGTTATATATAAGAACTTTCATTAAATACACTTGACAAAGGGAAGAGGCTTGATGATGTAAAACTGCAGGATGAGCTTTCATGGATGTGGCTTCTACCCTTGCATCAGTATTTCTATGCCAGCAACAAGAAAAATTCTGCTTTATGATTAATAAAATTTCAGTGTTTGCTTCTATTCTGGTGTTTTTCAGATGATAAAGGTTAAAAGAAAGAAAAAAAAAAAGAAAAGAAAGAAATTACCCCAGAAAATGCAACATCCCAAGTCAAGGGATACCCAAAGTTAAGTCCAAGCTTAGAAACAAAATTTCCTGGAGAATTTATTCTAGCACTGTTTGTTACAACAATGCTGGCACATTCCTTTGAAGAATCTCATAACTAGATGTCATCAGACCCAGAACAAACAATTAGCTAGACTACAGTTTTGATTTAATAGGGCAGAAACTATGTTCCTAACAGAAAACCAACACAAAATGACAAAAAAATCCCAACTGAGCAGCTCAATACCATGAATATACTAAACTGTATTTGTAACCTTTCCTAAACTTTTAAAAGTAATTCTCTTCAGACTGTTAGGGTTTTTTTGGTGAAGTACCAATTTTTATAACACATGTAATATACAAAATCTATACTGACAACAAAGACAATAAAGATTAAACTTTAGCAAAAATTACTAGAAAAGTGTTAAACCAGAACAACATACACAAGAGACAAGAGCACAGAGCCTTAAAGACAGTATTATGATTTATAAAATCCCACCAGCATGCATTTATGGCATTTAAACACACTGGTAGTTAGTTCAGTCTAGCAATGGAAAGTAATTAACACCAAAGTCTAAAAAAGTATCTAAATGTCCTCTGTGAAGGAACAGTTCTAACATCTATCTGAAGTTAATCAAAGAAGAAATCATCTCAGCACTGATGAAGAGTGAGGAGGAATGAATGATTCAGTAAACTAATGTAAATCAAAATCTTATAGCTGCCTTAGTGGTTTTCAAATGGAAATGAGGCTTTTTATATCAAATTGATTTGAATTCCAGAGGCAAACTGCTTGTCCTGTTTCTCTGAAAAGAATTGACTGATACGTATAAAAGAAAGAATAACTTTACAACAGAGAAGGAAATCAGAAACTGGCCTGCGTGCGTAGAAAATCAGAATAAAATTCTAATCACTCATAACACACTTTTCCAAATGAGGTGTGTATCACCGAAATTCAGGTCCAAACATCAACATTACAACTGCAGTTCACAGATGCTACAAGGAACCCTGCATCCTTGACATAAAGCAATAATGAATATCTGGTATTTTCAAGGATTATAAGCATTCATTTTGTCTTTACATGTATGGTTTATTTAAGCAGTTACAAATACTACATAACTCACAAGTCAGTAAGGAAAGAGCCATTTATAAGCTTACCTGTTTTGAAACTTTGTAAATATAACTTGTTACTGTTCTCATTGCCTAAAACACTAGAAATACCTTATTTTAAATGAACCACGACAATCAACAAAACCCAGACTCTTATCCCATTACTGGATAGTTAAGTCAAAGAGATGTTAGAAATTAAAGTATATGATTAAAATTACATATCTTTGGAATTTGTTCTATGGTTTTATAAAATGAGATTTTCCCCAGAGTAGTCCCTTCAAAATCTATTCTAAAATCTATTCTGCTGCTATAAATCCCATTAACAGCAGTAGCCATTCTTTTTAGAACTTGTAAGCACTACAGGCAAAATTAAATTCCCTCGGATTAGTAAGATTCAGTTATATACGAGACTAGAAATTAGAAGGTTGCTGCAATGAGACTGAAAATAAAAAAAAAAAACAAGTAGTCTGGCAAAATTAATGACTTGGTTTATACTAACCAAATGTCTTGCTACTGCATCGGATATATAAGGTTCTTTTCCCCATTACAAAATCTGAATATTCTTGAAACATCAATATTCCATAAGTGTGTCACCTGTTTTACATTCCCAAACTACAAAAGCTCCCTTCCAGCCATCAATGAATTTAAATACTTCTGGTATGAAAAACGTTGAGAAAAATAAATTCTTAGAGCATGAAAAAGAATCTTCTTTTCATATGAACAATATTCATAAATTTCCTGGCCATTTTCCCAGTTCATCTGAATAGGATTTGTGCTCTCCAGATATTCAAATACAATGTACTTCTTACTTTGACGTAAGAGAAAACCCTAGTAGACAAGAACTTCTTGCAATTTTTGTGAGGGTTTCTTTGTAGTCTTACCAAAAAATATTGCACCTTTGCAGGAGTTAAACATTTAAAAATAAATTAAATGGAAAAAATAAAATTCTGTCTCTTCAGTTGAGAAGGTACTATTTTAGGCCTAATTATTTATACATACAGAGGTGCCCTATTATGTACAGCTCCAATGAATGCTGCTGTATGAATGCTGATAACACATATAAAGGAGAGAAGAAATACAGCTGATAGAAGCACTTAGTTTGTGAAGGAGACATGAGGAGAGATAGAACTGGTTTACTGGATGCTAAGGTCACAAAAATCAAATCCCAAATCAAATTCACAACTGCATCAAAGCAACACAGGTTCAGTCTCAAGGTTTCATAGCAGAATTTCAGACATATTCAGATGATAAAAAAAAAAATCACCTAAATAACTCTAAGCACAAACTTAAAACCCACCCAATTGAGAATGAGGTACAAGCCTATGTTTAAATTAACCATAGGTATAAATGCTACCTAAGTCAGCCTTAAGAGGGTCTTCAAATGCTTTAATGAATGATCATGACAGACCATAAAAAAAAATACACATTACATTCTCTTCATCTGTGCAGTACCTGACAACAGACATTACAAGTGATCATGATGTCAAAGATATGTCAGTTTTCTTAAATATCTCCTACTACCCTTAATTGCTGAGACACTTCTTTTTTAATGAGGACACTTTTCAAGAACTCTAACTCTGATTTATAGATTTTATCTATATCTTTAGCAGAAAGAATAAGGCTAATGGATCCAAATTTATCTATACTCAATAAAGACAGGGCTATAATGCAGCTTATGTGACTTTTACCTGTTTCTACATCTGTTAAATGCAGCATGGAATCAAAGCCCCCACTGAGGATCCTTCTTCCACAAGATGTCCACTGGGCAGCTCGAACAGCACAGGAGTGACAGGAATATGTTCTTAAACAGCAGCCAGTATCTACAGCATCCCATACCTTAAAAAGAAGGATAAGGACAACTTTGTAAAGAATCACAATATTTTTTTTCAATGCACTGATAAGTAGCTACAGCAAATCATCAGGGCTGAGAAAGCTTTGCATTCCAAAGTCATTAAGCCTTTAAAGTTTGCTTGAAGTAACTACACAGTTGATTAGAATTAGGGCATTTAATTAACAAGGCACGAATCAGTAACACATGTTTATAACTTGTATTATTTCTTGAGGTGTCTACATTGCTCTCAGTGACAATTCATCTTATACTTTCCCATTCATAATGCTGTCCTACCCCTGTGCAGGTATGTATCCAAGTATATTTTCCCTTTAAATATTTTTTCCTCTAAATTTCTGTCTCTATCACATTTTGCTTTCCACCGAGTAAGAGGAATCCTAGCAGATTACAGCTTTCACATCTACCTGTAGATAGGCTATTATCATATTTGTCGATCAGCTTGTAATTTTAAGTAGAATTTTATCTTAACTTCACTGAGGAGGCAGATAAGAACATCACCATGCATCTACATGGAAATTTCTAAGGACTGGTCTAAGTCCTCTCATTTTTCAGTTTCTGGACAGAATTAAGTTGATGCTAAGCAATTCTGAAAACTCTATTCTACTAGTTATCCAGGTTTTTTTTAAGTATACAACAGCTAATACTTTCAGATCATAAGTAGTCCTGCTCAGATTTTTAAAGCAATTTTTAAAGATCAAGGCAGTTGTTTCCAAATAATATATTTTAGAAAACAGAACCAGTCTGAGTTATAATTTCAGTTACCAAATATAGTTCACAATAATCAAAAGTACCTCCTTTTCATGGTGCTCTTTTTGTCATAGTTTTAAGATAAAATTAGAAGTTTATCAACAAATGACCTATATAAATATCCAGTATGCTCAGTTCTGAGACAGAAGGCTAAATATCAAAACTATTTTCCCAATGAATATCCTGCTTCAGTAAAAGCCAGATTATAAAATATTTTATGATTGTGTGATACAATATAATACCTGTTGAGTTGTCTAATAAAATGGATACCAAATGCAATAACCATACCAGTAAATCCTACATTTTATTACTTCTAATATTAGTAGTACAAATAAATCAACACTTTGACAGTGCTTCATGATAGTTTTATTGCGGTTTCAGTAAACCCAAGGCAGTTTATTGCTTTAAAGTCACTGTTTTACTTCATGGCACTTCTATTTGTGGTTAGTCATTTTCATCCTGCGAAAACTTGCAGGATGAAAACAACACTGTCTATAAGCTTAGAAGGTTATTCTGAATTTTGTCTATTCTAATCACTTTCTCAATTCTAAGATTGTTCATATAATGCTAGGCAATTAACAGAACACAAAAAAGAGAGACTTTTTAAAAGTGAGATAAAATTCAACATTCATGGATGTTAACGCAAAAACACTGAAGTTAGTACCAAAATACAATTGACTGCATGTTTGTGCATTTTAAAGGGTGTTAAGAACAAAACCAACTCACTAAATCAGAAAACATAAGTAGATGTTTGCTTTCTTGTGGCAACAACACAATTCACAATACAGGAGAATGTAAAGGGGAGAAAAAAGCAAGGCTTCTGGTAATGTATTTTTATCTTCTTTATTATATATTCTTCTTACTGGACAAAAAGGACTCACTGACAATATCATTATTATATAGTCCATACTCAGAAGACAACGTTCCATTATAGAAGATTATTTCATCAAAGTATCTTCTAGCACGGAGCGCAGTTCTGCAATGCAAAGCAACCAATTATCATTAATTACTTGAATAGTCAGTTAAGACTGGAACTGTGATGGCCATACCCTAAGTATTCTACCCTATCCACAAGAAAAGAAAGCAGGAAAATTTTAATATTAAACTGCTTTTGAAAGTGAGTTTCTCTGCTTTAATGAGTTTTAATGATCATTCCAAGCTTCACAGTATTAAAAAAGGGTTAATTGTGTCTTGGAGGGTTTTTAATGCGAGAAAGCTAATGAATGAATCAAGATGAAAGGAAAAACAGGTGGTACATGCTTCAGATATTTTTCTGTCATGTTTTAGCGATTAAGTATGAAAACTCAATTTTCACAAGAAGGATGAAATAAAGCAAGTTCAACAGCACTTCTGAGTTCCCGCTCGATAAAAAAAAATAAAAAAAAAAAAAGAAAAGCTGTGTAAATGGAAAAAGCGCAGGCTTAAAGCTGCACATTTCCCTCTGTTACGTGAAACAGAAGACACCATCAATGCTGGTGGACGAGACCATGCAGTGACCGTGCACATGGGACACGTTAACAAACACCATGTTTCTCTCCGCTGTTTTGCTTTCCATCATCTCCTTCTGCTCAGGTAACGGCGGTGCCGCAATGCCTTCTGCGATCAGAGCCGCGTGGGCCAAGCAGTCTTCACTGAGCAAATTCAATTAGTTTATTGCCAATTAACGGAAGCTTTTAATTACACGTTCAAGTATTGAGGGAAAAAGAGCAAGAGTTAAATGAGGCCTCAGAGGAGCCACTTCCCTCCCCGGGCTCCACTTCAGCCCAGCACTTCTCCTCCCCAATTCCTACCCCTGCTCCCCCTGTTTTCATCTGCCTCACGCTTGGTCCCTTCCTCATCTTTTCGGCCAGACAACAGCCATCATAGGGCCTAGCGGTTTTTTGTTGCCTCTCCTTGCACCTTACTCTCTTCATCCTTTCTCTGCTCCTCCTCACCAGACGGACAACTCTTCCCCTTGTGTCTTTACCTCCCCATCGCCTTCTATGTCCTCACACACATCCTCATGTGTCCCCTTGTGTCCCCTGCCCTCAGCAGCTGCTCCCTTTCTTCAGTGTGTGTGAGTGGAGGCACCACGTGCTCCTCTGAAGTTCTGTCTCACAGTGAGTTGTTTTCATCCATTTTGGAGAAGGCTGGAACGAGGTGTAGCAGCATAGGGTGGCCCATGACCTCCTCCCACGCAGGGGAACCCTGCAGCCCCTGCTATCCAACCCCACCATTCATGCCCAGTACAAGAGTCCGTTCAGACAGAAGAGTTATGGCAGACCTCCATCAAGATACGGTCCAGCGCAAATTCACTGGAGCCCACAGATGTGCTTTTAAATAATGCTGAGAGGTGCCACTTCTGCTGTGGCTTCACAGCTTAATGGATAGAGCAGTGTAAACAAGGCAGCAGAAGAGGATGGCAGAGGATGTCCTGCTGTGCAGTGCAAGCTTCATCCAGGCGCATTCACCCCTATGTAGGGTTCCAAATGACCTGCCTGGGGTTTTCCTTCAAGTCTCATGTCTAGTCATTTTAGCTCAGTGTAACTTCAATAGATCAGTGTGCGCCCTGCGAGGAGGACACTGTGCAGTGCATCCCCAGAACAATTTCAGAGCTTGAAGATCCAATATTCATCTTCCACAGGAAAAAGGAAGCCACAGCAAATAGCTGCAGCTATTTGCAAGAAGTGGTATTTGATATTTACAGTTAGCTCTTCAGCAATCACTTAAAGATGCAGCGATGCCCACAGAAAGTCATATAAAGGTGAGCCATTGCATATCAAGAAACAGAAATGGGTGTGCAGAACCCAAACCAAGGCAATTAAAGGACAAGCTATGCATCATCTGTACAAATAAGAAATTATGAAAAGGTGGGAGCTGTCCAGCTGCAACAGAATGATTCTGTCCCAAGTTACAAACTCTGTCTATAGAATTGACAAGAGATGTTAACTGTGTTATGCCCAAAAATGGAAAATCTACTGTATTTCCTTACCAAGTAAAGATGATTCAAAGGACCATCACAAAGCGACCATCAAGCCTGCATTTTCTTAGAGAGTCCGCTTATTGCCACACATTCAAGAAATGTTTCACGTTATAAACAGTAATCAGCCCATTCTGTCCCTTTAGAAAGAATCCCCAAAAGAATGAAATATGCAACTACTGTCATTAGGAAAAAGGCACATATTACTGTATTATCTCCCCTAAGTCTACAATTATAAACTAATGAATTCAGTAATATTTGAAACAAATAAACAGCCAAGACTCAAAGCTTTGAAATTAGCTAGTTCTTTTCAAACATTTTCTTCAATTCCTTTCTGGCATTAAGGTATCATGAACAGTTTAATTGCATTTTCTCCAATTTTATTAAAATTGGCTTCAATGTGTCAAGCTGGTTCATATTTCACTACTAGTTCTTACTCTTCTGTACTTCACTATTTATAACATTGCCTTTCTATTTCTTTTCCATCAACTGCTTTCATTTCATTACCTCTCGTATTATAGAACCTATGGTGATTACATAGTTATCTCCTAGGATTGATATATGGGGCCAAAATGGCAGGTACAAACAGCCAAGTGACAAAATTATACCAGAGATTTCTTTACAAAAGCAATTTTCTTTTTACTTTCTGCAAGGCATGTTGTAATTCAATTGCTCTTTCACATTCTTAATAATATTTGGAAATAAAGGCTTCAGAAGTTGCTTCCTTTCCTGTACAGTTTAGGAAGGTTGTGAAAATACTGTAACCAGCATTTTAGGTAATATAACCAGACCTCCTCACCCTCAAGATCAGAAGTTCACAAATCATGTAAGCACCTAAACAGTATAACAGTTGAGATTTATTATAGATTATGTGTTTCCAGATCCTATTTTCTGACTGAAAGCTTTCAGGAAAACAGCCCCTGAAAATAAAGTACTTTGGATTGAAGTTAATAAAAACTCTCTTGGTAGGTCACAGAAGAAAATAGGAGAAGGTAAGTGTTTGCTATTCAAGTAAATAGCATCCACAGAAGAATGTTCAGGGGTCTGCTAGGCTATCAGCCAGCTCATAGGACACAATAAAGGCTTTTATCTTACTGACCATCCAAAACAGGCATTCATTCCTAGGGAAAAAAAAGTCATAGCAATGTAAACCGAGTAACCAAAGTAATGTGAGAACTCATCTAGCATACAAAGACTGACAAATTAGCAATTGAGCATGTTTCTTCCATTGTCATTCTATGATTATCTATAGCGCACTCGCCTCCAAGCAAATTAGATGGC